GCCAAACAAGATAGCCTTCTCAGTCAGACCGTTGCTGACTTCCTCTCTCTCTTAGAACATCCTGCAAATCGACCTGCCTTGAAAGGAGGGGGTGGTGAATCCCCCGATCCCGGCCCATCCAATAGTACAACCCAGCTTGCCTTGTCACGATCATCACTGAGAGAGCCGCTGTTTGTGGTGCCAGCAGGGTTCCATCCCAATGCCACGTTTGTTGGCATGACCAGAGAGCTGGATATCTTACACGCTCGGTTATACAGAGCTAAGAAGCGGTCTGAGCGACTTGCAGCTGTCTTGATATGCGGGGGACCTGGAGCCGGAAAGTCTCACCTCGCAAGACAATACGTGTGGACTCAGCGCGACTGCTACCCCGGCGGCATATTCTGGGTCGATGCGAAATCACGAGAGTCAACTAGCAAGTGTTTCTGGGACATCGCGCAGGCTGCGAGCTTAACGGACGAGCTTGAATTCGAAAGCCCGGACTTCAAAGCGCCGCAGAAGTACGTAGAGGTGGTCCGCAACTGGTTACAAGCTCGAGAGGAGTGGCTTCTCGTCTTTGATGGTCTCAGCTTCAACCAGGAAGATGACCTGAACCATTTCAGGCAGTTTTTGCCTTTCAACAGACAATGCAGCATTATGTACACCTCGGTGGATCGAACACTGCGAAAGAAACAGCGCTTGTACGAGCCTTATTGCCTTCAAGTGCCCCCTCTGTCGATCGAGGATGCGTGCAAGCTCTTGTTCAAGGATTTGGGAATCAAGAGACCCACCAAAGAGCAGGTCCGCAAGGCAACTGAACTGGTCATGCACTATGAGTGTTTACCCCTGGCCATCCATGCGATCAGTCACCGCCTCAGTGCGACGTCCAAGCCAATTGAAAGGTATCATATTAACTCGCACCTGACCGATGAAAAGCTTGCGGAGCCATTCCTCAGTATTATGCACGACCTCTACCGGATGGGGCATTTCGAGGCCCTGAACCTGATCAATCTCCTCTCTTTCCTTGGACACCATGTGCCGCTGGGGCTCATCAACCTGGGCAAATCAGTTCTGGAGACCTGGAATGTCGAAATTCTCACAAGCAGTAGGCCCGGGGAGCGGGGAGATATCGACACGACTTTAGGGATCTTAATTCGTTACGGTCTAATTGAGAGGACCTCCGACGCTTATGTTTTAAAAGATCTTTCCCCGCAATCCGAGAAGGAACTGGTATTCGACCCCAGAGCCGTGGCGCCCGAGCTATCCGAATCGCAAACGGAGAGCAGTAGCCAAGAAGCCAGCTTCTCCATCTATCAAAAGGCGGGTTCGATCGATGTTATTAAGATCCATAGCGTGGTTCAGGGATTCTGCCGCGACGAATTGAAAATCATGGATGAAGAGCAAAGGAAGCAGTCATCGAGGTTAGAGGCTCGACGAGGGTCCGCGGCTGGATCAGTCCCTGAATCAGGGTCAGGCTCTGGAGTCATCAAAGCCGAGGCCGGCTTCTACGAATCATGGCTCGTCGTGGCCATCCGCCTTCTCTGCAAGTCGTACGAGAACGCAAAAAAGCGCATGGATTTAGTCGATGATTACGGCCTGGTTAAGGATTACCGGGAATATGAAACTCACGCATCCCGGTTAATCGAGAACTTTCCGAAACGAGCCTCAAAAGAGAAAATCGTTCAAGAGGCGCGTAACGACTTAAAACAACTGATGAGGAGCATCTCCAGCGAAATTGAACGCCTGTCACCCCATTCTTCACAAGACTCCATTCGCAAACACCGTTCCGTGTTTGATAGGTCAAGCAGCTCGTCATCGTCCGTGCCGGATTCTGACGAGAGCCCGTCGAGGCAACTAACATGGGACCTCGGCGTCGAATCGGCGAAAGTTGAGTCACCGAAGGAGCTACCAGCTACGGCGCACGGGTTCAACCTGAGCCCCTTCCTCCCTCACATTTTTCGCGAGTCGAGTAGCGAACACGAGGCCGAGAGAGCCAATCGGGAGAAGATGGAAGCGTCTTCGCTCTCGCAGATAAGCCAGGCTACCGAAAAGCCATCAATTGCTTCAAGCCCGCCACGGGACGATCACGGCTGGCAGGTGGTGGAGAAGCCGCAGAAACCTAAGCCTGGGAAGGAGAGACAGCCGAAGCAGCGCCCAAAGTTTCCCACCCACATACATGGCTCCAAACCGGCAGCTCCTGTGCTCAAGGTATTCCCTGTTGAAGGGAGGAGTGCGTCAAGCAGTAGCATGGAGAAAGGCCGCAGTAGTTCTTCCGTCTCTGCCACGGAAGCACTGACATCGGTGCAGAGTGCCAGCCCTCGCCGATCCGAGGAAGATCTGCCTACCAGTCAAGCAAACCGGACATGGGCAGCCGTGGTCGCCAAAGCCAAGCGCGTTGCAGAGACACGAGGAGCTCCTTCGTCATCGCCAAAACAGCGGCCCTCATCGTCACCTGGGGAGACGAATCGCCCGGGTTTGCCCGTGCCAAAGCCGTTGGAAAGCAAATCTTCGGGTGAAACGTTGGGAACCAGTATCACAGAGCCACGCTTCCAGGAAGACCGATTGAGCCGATCCACATACAGTGAGCCAGGTCCAGAACTTCTCACACAGCAGCTGCACGCACTCGACTTGGGAATTGCACCAGATTCACGCTACCACTACCGTCACTTATCCACGTCAATGACAGCGGCGCCGTTGAGAGACATGTCGGCCAGTACCCCGTCGATTTTGGCGTTCCCCCCACAGCCGCTCCCGTACGAGAATGACATCGAAATCACGGTTTCACGACGCTTGAATGCGAGCAACATGCCGCCACCGCCGCCTGTTAGTCAGTCGGCCGCCACGTTTAGCCCAATCGCCCCCTTCCAAGCCACACACCATTCGATCACACACCCATCTGCCATCATGCCGGGTGCCTCACCGCCGGTTTCGATCGTCACTGATGGAATCGGAAACACTGGTTACACATCTGACCCGCCTCCCGCTTTGGAGCCATTGTCACGAGGACCTTCGGGGCAGTCTTACCAGTCCTGGTCACCAGAACCGGAACCAGAGCCCATGCGCCTTCCACCGCGGCTCGTCCCCTTGCCCTCCAACTCCGTGGTGTATATGCCCCAACAACAGACGCTTTCTGGGGCTGGCGGCTGGATAGGTGATGTGCAGCAACCAGCGAGCCTGGGGAGTGTCGGCTCACCCGAAGACCTAGGGATTCTCCACTTCGGGGCCCATCGAGTTGATGTGCGGGATGCTCGGCAGAGGCTCGAAGTGGGTGGGCGCTATCAGGTTTCTGGCACAGCGTGGCAACTATATCACTCGAATAGGTCGGGTCCTCTCATCCGTCCGAGTCAGGATGCGTTGGCCGGTACAGCCACACAGGGAACATACGTTCGGCGACCCCGAAGTGGCAGCACCCCAATGCATCCTGAGTAAAAGATTGATTTTGATTTGTCACTGGGATGACGAGAAAGCAGGTTTGAAGAAGAATCAGGGCAAAAAGAAAATAAAGAAAGCATCAGGCAGGTACTGGTGCAAATGCATATGAGCACAGGTTGGAGTTATGCACTGTCAGCATCCGCTTTCATATTAGCATTGTCATTCAGCATTTTGAGCACTTTGATGGAGGTCCATGCATATAAGATGGGAGATAGAGCAGCATAGGCAACAGGCGTTTACTGTTCCCTCGGGCTTCTATACCTGCTTTCCTTTTCGATGTTTGGCATACCCTTGTTATGGAAGAGACATGGTGCATCTCATGGTAATAGTCATAGTGATAGGATAAATGGACGCCTTGGTTAACAGGCACTAGTATGCCTGAGGCCAAGGGTTAATGTTATTGCAACTTTCAGGACAAAGCCCCAACGCTGACCGAATTCGCAACTTAGGCCTTTTGGTCTGAGAGTCGAGTTAGTTCCTACAAGCTGATGCTATTCTAGAACCTATGGATATCCGGATACTAGACAGTGCAAGAGTCGGACTGTTCCTGGAATGAGTTTGTGTGAGCTTCATACTTATTTGTCATCTCTTGGTCTCAACATATCCACTTTTGTCTCCACACCCTCTGCTTCTTATTCCTCAATAACAGCTCTGGACCAGATTGAAAGAAAATCTGCTACATGCTACTACACTGAGCGTCAAGAGCCTGCGCTGTTTCAGGTCAGACACACCGTCCTGTCTTGACCGATAAAAAGGGCTGATAGATTGGCATAGTCCATGGTACGATTGCCATTCGGAGGCACACGTAGACATACCATCAGACAGCGAGGGCTATGCTTCCATATCGAATGTCGACCAGGCTTGAGGGAACGATCGTTTCGAAGCAAAGAGCAGACGATTCCATGATCTGCGTTGCCGAAATTGTTCCGCAAGGGGCAGTGGGTACATCTAGCAACAACACTTCTCCTCGAGTGAGAAAAGATCTACACATCTCTGCAGTTTAAGATACTTCCATTTGAGGAAGTTGGTTCAGCTCCTCAAAGGTCTCCTCCGTTTGACCAGGCTGGTATTCCTCATGCTGCACATGGCCCAGCATATCTCAAATCTGTACGCCTAGGGACCATGCCATTGGCAACGGAAAGGTTCACTTGTATATGTGATAAGAGGCTTAATTCGATGCACTTTGCTTAGCATTCAGAAAGCAAGTGTGATTGAAGTAATTAGCATCTGGCCCAAGCTTTCTGTGCCACCATCAATGTTGACCAATGTGCTGGATTGCAGTCTACGTCTAGCCTCCCTGGCACGTTGTACAAGGCAGTGGAGAAGATGAAGACAACGAGCAATTTGCGCTTTACAATCCAGCATCTTGCGTGCTTATCTTCAGATGAGTATGCATTGAAGGCTGTGGAATGAAGCATCCATAGGGTATGAATGGGTACGCTCTTGATATCCCTTACTTCTATTTCATACCAGCTCCTGAATGTGCCCCTCATTCCACTACCCGGCTGATAAGGAATCCATATATTGCAATGCGATAGTCCAGCTTTACAGCAGGCTTTAATATCTTCGAGAGCTGGGAACAGGGTTGCAACATGGTCGTTTCCAAGACTGAGAGATCCGGTCCAGCAAGCGTCCTGGCTGCTGACGATGCCTTGCCACAAGCACAAGGACAGCAAAGGGAGCTCCCACAGCAATTCTCTGCGAGCTCAGCTCTAGCGTTTGCTTATATTGTCACAAACTCCTGGGTTGGTTATTCGGGGACCTTCTCCACTGCGTTACTGGCCGGGGGAGGGCCCGCCGTTTTCTATGGTGTTATAGTGGCTGGGATCGTCTGCACTATCATCAGTATGCCTGCGTTCCTGAATTGCCTGTAGTCCGCTGATTCCGATATGCTATCTCAGCCCTGGGTCTAGCCGAGTTGGCATCAGCGTTCCCTTCGAGCGGAGGACAATACCATTACACCTATATGGTCTCGTCACCAAAGACTCGGACACCCTGTGCTTTTGTATGTGGCTGGCTCAGCTGTCTTGCCTGGTGTCTGACCACAGTGTCTGGCACCATTTTTACAGGTATGGTCTGAGTCTCTGTGAGACTTGAGCAGGCTCAACTTACAATGACAAGCTCAAGCGATTCTCGCACTCGTCTCGTTCCTAAACAAGGACTATCAGCCTAGGCAGTGGCAGACATACCTCGTCTTTCTTGCTCTTGTTATACTGGCAACGGCAGTGGTGTGCCTCCTCGCGCACTGGCTGCCGCGACTGCAGGAGATCATGTTCTGGAGCAGCATATCTGCCTTTGTCGTGTGTCTCGCCGCCGTTCTCGGAATGAGCAAAAGCAAGCAGCCTGCGCGCGTTGTCTTCACCCAGTACGAGAACGAGACGGGGTGGCCCGACGGCTTGTCGTTCCTCATAGGGCTCGGGACCTGCATGTACCTGTTCGGAGCTACCGACGCAGCGACACATATCGCCGAGGCATGTCTCATCAACCCAAACCC